ACTTTCCTTTAGCATGGCTTTCATTGTGTCCAGTAATTTGGACATATTGTGCATTCATTTTCATTTAGTTATAGGAAGTCTTTAATTTCTTTATTTCTTCCTTGACCCAGTGGCAATTCAGTAGAGAGTTGTTCAGTTTCCATGAATTTGTAGACTTTCTGTTGTTTCTGTTTGCATTGAAATCCAGCTTTCATGCATGGTGGTCTGATAAGATATAGGGGATTATATACTTCTAGGACTTTCTGTATTACTGGAATTGTAGATAAATTTTTTACTTCATCATGAAATATCTTATTTTCTCCATCTATGGTGATTGAAAGGTTTGCTGGGTATAGTAGTCAGGGTTGGCATCTGTGGACTCTTAGAGTCTGCAAGACATCAGTCCAGGCCCTTCTGAATTTTAGAATCTCCATTGAAAAGTTGGTTGTAATTCTAATAGGGCTACCTTTATATGTTACTTGTCCTTTTTCCCTTGTAGATTTTAATATTCTTTTTTTGTTTTCTGTGTTTAGTGTTTTGATTATTATGTGACTCATGGATTTATTTTTATGATCCAATGTGTTTGATGTTCTATAAGCTTCTTGTATCTTTATAGGCATCTCCTTCTTTAGGTTAGGGAAATTTTCTTCTATGATTTTCTTAAATATGTTTTCTTGGTTTTTGAGCTGGGATTCTTCTCCTCCTTCTGTTCCTATTCTTAGGTTTGATCATTTCTTTCATAGTGTCCCAGATTTCCTGGATGTTTTGTTAGGAGTGTTTTTTTTTTTTTTAGATGTAACATTTTCTTTGACAGATGAATCTATTTCTACTATTATCTCCAGCACCTGAGATTCTCTCTTCCTCCTCTTCTATTCTGTTGGTGATGTTTGTGTCTGTAGTTCCTGTTTGCTTATCCAGATTTCCCATTTCCAAAATTCCCTCAGTTTGTGCTTTCTTTATTGCTTGTATTCCATTTTTCAGGTCGTGAATAGTTTCTTTCACCTGTTTGTTTTTTCTTGGCTTTCTTGGTATTCTTTAAGGGACTTATTGATTTCTTCCAAATTTTTTGCTTGTCTTTTTTTGATTTCTTTAAGGGAGTTTTTCATTTCCTCTTTAAGGACCTCTACCATCTTCATAAAGTTTCTTTTATATCATTTCCTTGTGCTTCATCTGCATTTGAAGTGTTTACCTCTTGCTATTCTAGGATAGCTGGGCTCTAGTGCTGCCTCATTACCCTGGCTCTTGTGGATTGTATTCTTACACTGGCATTTACGAATTTTGGTTTGGGGTGATTAGGTCTAGGTACTAATTTCTGAGTTTGTTTATTTTGGGTGGGGGTTTTGTTTCTTGGTTTCTGTTTCCTATTTGGCCTTCTAGTCTTGGTCACCTGGATTTCTGGGGGCTAGTGTGACCTCTGACCTAGTAGGGAGTCTCTGTCCAAGTTGGGAGCTGGCCTTCTGGAGGTTAGCTTGGCCTTTGGTGCACCATGACATATCTCTTCTGACGGAGGAGCAGGAGTTCCTTGGGGTCAGGGGCTGGCCTTGGGACTGGCAATGAGGTTGGAGGGGCAGGTGGTAGAATGGGTCTTGGAGAACAAAATCTATGGAGTGGAACTGTTCAGAAGCCAGGTGAATCACTCCCCTCTTCTTACTGGTAAGGCCTGTGCTTGAGCAGTAGAAGTTTGCCAGTTGGGGTCAGGGCCCAGGGCTGGTGTAGGTGATCTTGATTTATTTTTAAACTGAAGATTGAACACAGAGCCTTGCATATGATAACCATTAACACTATGCTATATACTTAGCTTCTAGGTTTGAAATTTAAATTCCTAATGCAAGTCTATACATTCAGGAAATGTCCCAAAATAAGCCTTCCAGTCTGGATACTGTCCGGTGTTTGGCCTGCACAGGTTCAAGCCAGACAGAATCCCTTGAGAGGGGAAAGTGGACATCCCTAACCAAAAAGATATCTCTATTTTACATTGGTTTGCAAAGGAAAAGTTAGTTTTCTTTAATGGAGTCTCACTGAGCATATTAACAACACTTAAGAATAGGCCCCGTGCTAAGTAGTAAATAGCCAACACAAATGAACTCAGTGGTATTTTTGAAGACTTTTTGTCTCATTGCTTTGTTTGGGAATTTATTGTCTAACTGGTCTTTCTGCTTGTGTATTATGATTTTCAATTTTGTGTTTTCATGTTTTTGTTTTCTGGTATGGATGTGTTTCTTGTGCTTTTTCTGTTTTTTTGTTGTTGTTGTTTTTTGTTTTGTTTTTTTTTTGCTGTTGTTTGTTTGTCTTTTTGCTTTCTAAAGAGAAAGAACAAAAACATGGAAGTAGGTGTCCAGGGAGGATCTGAGAGTCATTGGGGGAGGGGAAACTGTATTATATGAAAAAGTATTTTCAATAAGAAAAGCATGACAAAAAAGAGATAATGTGACTTCATCCTATAAGTCATAGCTGTCATATTCTACTCATTTACAAAAAAACAATTAAAATTCTTTTTTTTACATGTGTATGTTTACATGTGCATACATGTGTGCACACATGGTGCAGGGTGTGTAGAAGGGAAGGTTCTCATCTTCCACTGTGGATTACTGGGATCAGAATAAAGTTGATAGTCTTGCTGGCAAGTACCAGATGAACTGTCTCAAAAGTCCCCTAATTCTTTTATCTTTATACAGAGTCCATTTGATTTCCAAACCACCTTTTAAAATGCTATCAAATGCTCTTTTCTCATTTCTTGTTCCCTGATACATGGCAGATAAAACTTATGTATAATGCTATTTTTTACTATTGGTCAAATTTTTACTTTATGTAGTATCTTCTAATTAAGTAGATATGTCAAGGAGATAAAGTTTACTTGCCAACATCCAGAGTTCTTAGTATTATGTAACCTTGCTCCTTGGAAGAAGAAATACGTAAGAGATGTTTATATGGAATGCTCCTGGTAATTTGATTAGTCTGGGATTAGAAGTTTGTATCCTGATATATCACCTTTCAGTTAGCTTGCTTTCTACTTTTAGGAGTTAGGTAATTTCCTTAACACTCATTTTTCGTTTAGCTAGCATATGAGAAGCTACTTCCCTATTCATGGCATTTTGCTTTTATCCTGTTGAAAGTTCAAAATCTCTTAATTGTAGATTATTTGATTTACGCTCAGGAAAACTGATCTAATATTTGGTGATATTTCAAAATGAATTACTATATGTATTGTGTTTAGAAATAAGGATGCTGAAAATTCTGATCAAATTCTTATTCTTACTGAGTACTACATTCAGCATATCCAGTTATGTGACAAACAGATACAGAATGAAAACTTTTCACTCTGGCTATGACTGTACTTTGAAGATTACCTTTTATAAAATTCAAATGCAGATCAAGTTATGCCAATTAAAATTTATCTTCTTGGGGCTGGAGAGATGGCTCAGAGGTTAAGAGCACCAACTGCTCTTCCAGAGGTCCTGAGTTCAATTCCCAGCAACCACATGGTGGCTCACAACCATCCGTTATGAGATCTGGTGCCCTCTTCTGGTGTGCAGATATACATGGAAGCAGAATGTTATATCCTAATAAATAAATAAAATCTTTAAAAATATTTATCTTCTGAATTGAAATAAATTCTGTATGTAAAATATAAACCAGATCATGAAGGCATAGTGCAAAAAGAAGAAAATAAAATTTACTAATACTGAAAAAATATGTAGTGTGTGTGTGTGTGTATGTATGTATGTATGTATGTATGTATGTATGATGTATGTATGTATGTAGATGATGCATGCGCAAGTGCAGTTGTCCAAAGAGAACAGAAGAGGGGGTTGGAGGTTGGAGTCCCTGGGACTTGACTTACAGATAGTTGTGGGCCATTATGTAGGTGCTGGGGACTAGACACGAGCTCTACAAGAGCATCAAATGCTCTTAACCCCTGAACCATCTTTCCATCCCCTGTAATATGCTTCTTGCAATGTTAGAAGTTTGTAAAATGGAAAGTTTCTAATTACATTAACAGAAATTTTAGTGGTATTGTATTTATATACCAATCAAATGAAACTCTTTTAGAAAAACATAAAGTAGAGCTTAAATGTTCTTTTATATAAAAGTAAATGCACCCAAAAATTGTAAGCATAGCTATGGTCTAATATATGTTTGCTTTTTTAATTCATTAATTTGTTCATTTATTTATTGCAGTGCTGGGGGTTGAATCCAGGTCTATAGACACACCATTGAACTGTATTCCCAACCAACTCCTCATTTGTCTTTCAAGATCTGCCCTCACTGTGTAGCCCAGGGTAGTGTTGAATTTGCTATTCCACTAGGTTTCACAAGTGCACTTTGAATATTTCTAAGATATGCATTTATAATTCATGGAAAAATAATTTTCTTTTATTTAAGGATGATGAAGTGAGATTGAATGCTTTGAAGTACAGCTTCAAGATAATAGAATGAAATTATTATTACTGTTTTTTCAACTGAGGTGTAAATTTATCTTTTATATTTCATTGATTTCAGAAAGTTCTTTAGAATATATTGTTTTTCTCTTACAAGTTTGAAAGATCTATAATGAGACTTTCACCATGTTAAGTAGTCTCTTTAATGGTTCTCTAGGTTTATGTTATTAGGTCAATTGGGTTTGTATTTATTTTTAGGTAGGCAGAGACTGGCTTTTGGTTTGGTTGCAGAATGCTGTGGGGTATCCACTTACAGTAATGAATATAAGTAATGCTATCACTATTGCTATTTTTAAACGTCCATGGTGCTCAGGAATGTGCTAAAGTCTGAATATAACATGGTTAATTATGTTACTGTTCCTGGCCAGGGCCACATTGACTAAAGCACATACTCCCATTATGAGGAAGCTATCAAATGCTTCAGTTTGAGGTTAAACATTATTTCAATCCTGATTTACTGAAAGATGTTCAGTATGCTATCTGTGTTTTCTCAGGAACATCTGGCAGTTTTCTTCTTGTATATTCACTTCCCACATGAGTTTCTTATTGCTTTTTTATACTTATTATTATATCTCTTTTTAGTTTTTCTCACGGGAGAAAAAGCCAACTCAGTATTAAAACGCTACCCAAGAGCCAATGGGCTTTTTGAAGAAATAAGACAGGGCAACATTGAACGTGAGTGCAACGAAGAAGTCTGCACATATGAAGAAGCAAGAGAGGCTTTTGAAAATCACGAAAAAACTGTAAGTATACTGACAACTTAAAACATGTTCACAGAGGTGCTTAACTTTTGGTGTATTTTGAACTCTTCATTCCCAAAGTACAAGTACTGCTTTCAACCAAATGTTAATTTACTGAAGAAATTGTCTTGAAACATCTAATGAATAGTGGTCTGTATAGGATAGAACTAGATTTACTTCCCTCTGAATTGGTCTTTAATTGACAGCCATGTTCCCACAATGCTCTGCCTAGCTAGCAGTTATTATAGTGGCAAGGTATCTAATTCACACGACTTTGTTCCAGAAAGTAGATGCTGCCTTTGAGGGAGGGAGGGAGGGAGAAGGAAGGAAGGGACACTGTTAGTGTTTTGTTTTGTTGTTTTGTTTTTTATTTCTCCTGGGCTGGGTGTATAGCTCAATGGTAGGGTGTTTTCCTTGTATACTTGAGACTATTGGTTCCAACTGTTGTACCAGAGAAAATCTGCTTTAGTTCTCTCTGCTTTTACAATTCTTTTCCACATTTTAAGAGACTGCTTTATTTCACTTTACTCCAATTACAGGCTATTGAGAGAGCAGGTTTGGGAAAGCAAAAGCAAGGATGTAAATTGTGTGGGTGTGCTCTACAGTTGGGAATTATAACACCAGAGATAGCTGTTGTGTAAAGATCCATGCTGGTGCATCAACAGAATAATACTATATGTTAAAAATAAGTGGTATCCGATGTGCTATAGGGACATCAGATAGGCTGCAGGAACAGTGAGTACATACATGTTTTAAAGAAGGAGGGTTTGATCTTTTGTTTGCTAAAGAAGGCTCTAGAGATGAAAGGAAATTGCTAGATTCTGGTGCCCAAAGCAAAAGCAAAATCTGTCTATAATTTAGCAAACTATGATCTTCATCAGCTTTACTGATTTTCCTTGTAGTTCTTATCATATACAGAATGACTTATGAGTATGATTTTTATGGCTGTCCAGTTGTCCAAACACCATTTAACAAACAGCCCTTCTTCACCATAGTCATTTTAGTTATCATTAGTTATGTATTTCCTTTAGTTATATTTCCTTATCCCAGTTTCTATAGGTACTTCATCTATTTCTGGATTTTATATTCTAGTTTATCTTTCTCTTTCAGAAGATATGTTGTGTGTTCTAGTATAAATTAGAAGTAGTTCTACCTTGATATAGTATTCTACAGTAGTTTATGATCTCTTCTTTCCTACCCAAGAGACAGTGGCCTGCTTTTTTCATGTAAATTTTAGTAGTAAATTATCTAGCATAAGAAAAATATTTTATTATTATTTTTATTGGGATTTTTTTCAGTTTACACTCCTTCCCAAATAATCTGCTCTTGCCATGGTAAGTAGTAACTTCACCCATGTACTTGTTGCCTCTTTACAACAAAACCATTTGTTATGGTTTGAATACTAAGTGATACCACAGGCTCATGTGTTAAAAATTTAGTTTCCATCTCTTGGAAACTTTAGAATGTAGGGCCTCAAGTCGAAGAAATAAACTGCTGGAGGTGTGTCTTTGAAGGATTTCCTCTTCCTGCCTCCTCCTGTCTCCCTCTGCTGCCCGACCACCATAAGGTAGATAACTTCCAATACATGTTCCTGTTACCTTGATATTCTGCCTTGCCTCAGACGCAAAGCAATGTATCCAACCAGCTATGCACTGATTCCCCCTAAACCATAAGCAAGATTTAATCTCCTTCCTTTAAACTGTTTATCTCAAGTATTTGCCATAGCAACAGAATATATTATTAATATATCACCACTACTGTCTCAACTGTATTTTTTGTCTTTTCCACATAAAATTAAATTTTTTACATTTATTTATTCATTAGTTCTTAGAGAATTTTGTGCAATGTATTCAATCCCTACCTTTCTCACCTTTTCCAAGATCCACCTCCTCTGCCCAGCCCACTCAAATTTGTTTCCTCTTTATTTATTTTGTAGGAAGAGGAGGACTCACCTGCCTGTAGGTCAGAGGACATTTGAATAAGCCAGCACTCTTTTCCCATCACTTGAATTCTAGGGGTCAAATTCAGGTTATCAGGCTGAGTGGCAAGTACCTTTACTCACTTAGCCATCTCTGACATCTACATAATGTTTAAAATAGCAGGCTAGATTGACATTTTCAATTTTCTTACTATTAATGGTGGCTCATACCTGTAGAAGCAGTACTCAGGCAGTGAAGAAGAAGAAGAAGTTTGTGAATGTACACCTAACCTAGGCTATGTAGTGAATTCCAGGCTAGTCTGGTCCATAATAGTAAGAGCCCGTCTCAAAAAAGGCAGTGTGCTTACCTTCTCTGCAATGGCTTCATATTTTTCCCCAGTAAAAGCCAAAGAATTCAGAGTCACCTATAATGGACAGTTATTTCCCTCCTTCACTATCACTTCCCTACAGAAGAAATCTTCACCATATCTCCTATGACTCTACCCCTCATTGATTTGTTGTGCCTTCCTGCTTCATTACAGAGCACATGCCCTGTCTTGGGAGCAGTGACACCTGTTCTTTTCTCTTCCATATGTGTATATCTGAGCTTGATGATTGCAGTCAGGTCACTATGCAGCTTCACTCTTTCAATAAGGGAATATTCTGTCTTCTGTGATCCCCCTGCAGCATTTACCACCATCTGCCATTGATTTGTTATATTTATTAGTTGTTTGCCTTTTTCCCAAGTCTCTTGTCCCTTTGACAGCACTATTTCTCATTTGTTTTGTTCATAGCTATGAAGTTCTGTCACATATTAGGGGCTATATAAATACTTGGTAGAGGGAAGAAGTAATGGCTTGTGATATTACAAAATGCATTTAAGATATAGGAATAAGTGATTTAAATTTTCTTCATGATGTAGATGAAGATGTAGAACTTTAAAATGGATTTTTTTATATTGATGTGTTGCCTTTTCTATGGTTTCAAAGTCATCCAAATTTGCTTGTATGATTAAAACTATGGCATTTATCATAGGTTGTATTGGAAAGCATTTAGGTCAAAGTGGTACTGTCTTCCTTTACCTGCTTGCAAGTATTTCAGAATCATGTTTGTTCCATGCTAAGAAGGTTCTAGAATTAGGAAAGAAGAATAGCATTTGAGATTTGTTTTCTTCTATACTTCGTATCTTTTTATATACTAAAATTTCTTACTTACAACAGATTTTGTGACATTTTCATTATCCTCAAGTATAAACTATGTGAATTTAGTAGATAGCACTCATTGGAGTATTCATTTGTAACATTTCACCTAATTTAGTGCACAAGTCTTATTATAGATTGAAAAGACATAATTATCATTTTCAGCATGTAGGTGAGTCAGATTTATTCAGCTATTACCTGCTAAGTAACTACTATGTAGCATATGTATCGTGGTTGAGCTCTGGCAGAAGTAACTGACTTACACATGAAAGTAACTATACACATTGTAATATATCTTCTTTATTGGGGAAGGGCATTGTGGGCGTAACTCAGAGACCTTCACATGTTTGGAAAGCAGAATACCACTGACTTACATTCCAACCCGAAATTCACAGCCACATGTCTGCTTGTGGTGCTAAGGATTCAATCTAGTGGCTTCATGCTAGGCAAGTGCTCTACTGAGCCATATCCCATTTATATCCTAAATATATAGGATTTTGTCATTTATGCTTCAATAAAATAGAAGTAGAAATGTTTTCTGCATGTCATTCTCAAACCTTAGAGAATCAGATAGATCTGGTTTGGTGTCTCAAGTCTGCCACCCACTGGCTATATTGTTTTTCAAATAAACATTTCACCTTTATAGATGTTATACAACAATTTTTAGGTTTGAGATTATACACTCTATAGTGCCTACAACAGACAAAGATTATTTCATTCAAGTTTCAGATGGTGTATTATAGCCATTTTATTTAGGTCTCATATCTGCCAAGTTATTTTTCCCTTCTATTGTTCTAAATTAAAATATATGTGTATGCACACATACAAATATATAGTTTGTGTTGGAGATAGGGGTGTGTAGACCTAAGATGAAAATTTTGGGGAAGCCAGTTCTCATCTTCTCGCACCTTGTTTTTTCTGTCACTATGCTGCAGGTTAGCTGGAGCTTCTGGCCACCCTCCTTTTCAATCACAGTAGAACTGCTATGATTACAGATGTGTGCCATCACATTTGAATTTTATGTGGGTGGCATCTAGGGATTGAGCTTGGTCTACAGGCATGGAACCCAGGGCCTTGCACTTGCGACACACATTGTCTACAATAAACAACCTTTACCCCAGCTTATATTATATTAGTTTGTATATTTCAGCTATTCCATTCTATTTTTAAACATTTAAACATTACAGATTGTATTTAAAATACAGCTCGTCATCTTAAAGAGAGCTTAGCATTTCTAACTATTGAGAAGAGGTGCTATTGCCATCATTCACAACTTTGCCATCTGCATTCAACTATCTACGGTACTGCTTACTTACATTATCATAGAAATTCTGTGCTCATTGCAATTGGATCGATTGCTTTACAAACATCAACCCTGGAGAGAAAAGAAAGCAGTGGCCTACATTAATACATTCTATGCCACTGATAAAGAGAACAGGCAAATTTCATCAGTGATCTGAAAAACAGTTTACCACTTATTGCTCAGAGAACCTCATTTGTAGAAGTGAAAAATATTTCAAATTAGCAGTATAATTCATAACTAGGTTAGAGACTATTATTTTCTATCTGTACTGGTGCCTTCTCTCTTATTCCTGATATTGGTTATTTGTGTTCACTATCTATTCCTAATCATGCTGACCAAAGAATGCATGCTCAGTCTGTCTATATGTCTGTCTGCCTATAAATCTGTCCACTAAATGTGTCTCACTGTATGTGTGTGCATGTCTCTCTGTGTGTGGCATAGGTGGATGATGTGTATACACATGTTCAGAAAGCAGAGGGAGATATTAAGCAGTGTGCTCTGCCACTCTCTGCCTTATCCTTTATGGCAGGGTCCCTTGCTGAATCTGGAGTTAGGCTGGTAGCCAGCAAGCCCCAGTAGTCCT